GAACAATCGCTCTTCTACGCTTATTGCGTGTGGGGATGGGGCGGTCCAATTTGTTTCCTGATCGCCGCACTAACGACGCACCATATGTCCGGAAATCATTTGCGACCTGGTTTTGGCGAATATACCTGTTGGTTTAGCGGTAAGTTTCAAAGAAATATTCCTATTTTTGATAAAAAATTTCAACAATGTCGAAATATGATTTAACTCTTAAGTAGGTGTATCAGAGTCACTTTTTCTTTTTCTTCTTTAAGCTCCAGAGCCACTTCAATCACTGTGTAATTTTGCCAGTGCGCCTACTTAGCGGTTTAAACGTCGTTCACCAGTTCTTCTGATGTAGGATGAAATATTATTTCGTGTCTATTACTTCACAGGCGCTACAGAGACGTGGGCGTACTTTTACGGGCCAGTCGCTGTTTTGTTAATGTTAAACATGCTCTATCTTGGAATGACCAGTTGGCGTTTGTGGCATCAATATCGCGAGTTCACGGGAAGCAAGTTGCGAATCATGCGATTTAAATGCCTGTTATATATTAAATTGGTGTTCGTCATGGGTGTTACTTGGATCTTTGAATTGTTATCATTCGCTATCGGATCGAGAATGGATGAGTTCTGGTAAGCAATCGTTAAAACATCCTGTCTTTGTATTAATGTCTATCAATTACTGGTAAAATCATCCATAAATGTTCTTTTCGTCAGGATACCGACGGATCTGTTGAACGGTCTACAAGGATTCATCATATTCCTGCTTCTGGTTGCGACGCGGAAAAGGGTGCGGAAGTTATTGGCGAAGAAGCGACCGTGCGGTATCGTTTTCCCAAAATCCTGGGCCGCATACGAAGATGAGGAGTGCGAAGAGGTACTTCCTGAGGAGCTCGAGCTATCTCAACAAGGCTAAAGCACTCTCATATTCTTTTTTTTTTTTTTTTTCCAGAATCATGACGCGGGTTAAATGTGAGAAATATTGCCTATAGGAAAAGACAATTCAATCTTGATTTATTCGTAAATTATCTATACTCGGACATAGATAATGCAACTGTTGCCGAGTTTTTAATTAATTTAATTCTATAAATAACTCATTTATAGGCGCACATTTTATTTTCTGAATATTTTCATTGTTATATAGCTTCAATTATGTTAATCCATTATTACTCATGGTTCAGTTTATAACTGATATTATTACTTTATCTCTTGTTAACGTACGTTATTATCACCTATTCTTTTACTTGTATAGCACCAGTATAAGAGTGACATAAAAATCGACATTTGCCTGTTGAGTTAGGTTATACAAATGTATGTTTTAAATGCGATTGTCGTGAAACGTATTGTTTTCACAATTAGTGTAATGAAGTACATTATTGTTAAACACTGTATAAGAATCTCCGTAAACATTATGCAAAAGTTGGACCTAATTACTGTATATGTGTGGAGTAAAGTTCGTGGAAAGAATATAACGAAGGATAATTACTCATCGGTGTGTAATATCATTTCATGCTCGTGATTCAATTACAGTTTCTCGTTTAAATCACTCACGGAAACGTGACGACGAGTCATTCGTTCCCACATTTCTACGTTTTCCTACGAAAATACGTAAATCCGACTCATTCACTCATTGTTTTCACCTCCCTTATCAACTATCGCAAGTACTACGCATGACGTATCGTGTGGATCTTCGGCACGAGACATCTCGCGTGCAGTGAAAATATTGCGCAAGTGAATCCAATCATGATTTTAACGAATCTCTAACAGTGAAACATTAAGGCATAAGTTATCAAACCATGAGCAATAAGTTGCGATGTAAAAGCCGCTTGTATTCCGAGTCCGAAGGCTGCTGAACACTTTCACCGTGGGCGAGACAATAGCCCCGCGTATATTAGCATAACATGTGCGCATTAGTTCAGGGTATCTCCTACTAAAAATATGATTCACGCAATGACATAAATTTAGACAACATTTTTGTTAAAATTGTCGCCGTAGGCACGTTAAATATATTGTAAACACACATCTGTGCGCTTGTCCCACTTCCATTAATTTCATGCGTCATTCATTTCGACATACGTTCATTAATTTAAATTGTATAGAGCGTATCAGATTCAAAGGTCCTTTGCTTGTGAATTCTTTGACCAGTTCGAAACTGATCCTTTAATTCATTAAAAATGTCAAGGATGACTTAAGGATGACTAAAATGCTTATTTTAGCATCAAAAGTTAGTAAATTGCTTACCAATTTAATATGTGATATTACTACTTTGTTTCTGATTGCATTTCAAAATCGAAAATGATTTCGGTACGCAGTTTGCAGAATTAGATATGTATATAAATTCACTCTGAATATTTAAGTAGATTCGCTTTAACTAAAAATAGATTTATTTCTCTTAATTAACAATTATTCATATCCTCAATATCTTAATTTAAACAATATTCATGTCATATCGATTGAAAAATCCATCCATGTAAGGTAGTCCGCAAGCTCATATCCTGTGCAAGCATGTTGCATTCCGCCAATAGAGCATTATAAATGTATCAAATAATGCCGCGTACAACAAACCTGATTATATTCTTGCGGTGAATTCTTGATACTGAAACAGATAGCTAGTACCAACGATACAAACGAAATTTGTTAAGCAAATTAGATTATTCCGAGACAATCGATGTCATTAAATGCAACCATTCGATCAAGCAAGATGCAATACAAAATATTTGCAAACGTGCAGAAGTTTCACATATTCTTTCTCAATAAAATCACGAATACACAATAGATATTGCAATTCTTTCATGATAAAAATTTCTATCAAAACTATGTAGACAAAGAGAATTTTTATTAAATGTCAATTCCTATTAAAGTTTTCGTAATTTTCAGCTTTAAAAACAAGATAAATATTTTACTGGACTTTGAAATACTGATTCATGCCGTTATGCGAAGAAAGATGCATTCGACATAGTTAGAATTTCATATCTATGCTTTTTTCTCCGTTTTTATAATTATATCAAAATGACTCAATAATAAAGTAACATGCCTGTGTAATCGAACGATCATTTGAATAAAAGTGAATTATAAAAAATTAGAGACAAAAAGAAGAAAAAGAAAAAGAAATCTATAGATAGATGCAATTATTATCTCTTCATATAAGTGGCTCGCAAATATATATCACTAGATGTGTGAGTTTACAATGACTCGATTGTTCAACGAAACGAAAGAGAAGTAAGAGATGCGCCGTTGTCATATATAATTCATTGAAATTAAATAGAGCATGTTAGCGCACACTGCGTGCATCTTGAGAATGACCGTAAAGAAAGTGGACCGACAAAAAGGGGAGAAGTCAGTACAAATTACTGAGGCCCACAGTCCGGAAGATCTTATTTATCTTTCTCAGAAGAATCATTATTGGTCTATCTATTTTTAGCATTGTTAAATCGACAAATCCCACAAGGAATTTCGTAAGAATCCTTTCTTTAAGTCGTACACTGAAAAAAAAGATTGGCTGCTGCAGCAAATTAGATGGTAAAATATGGCATAGTATTTTTAATTGGTTGCAGCAGTCAATTTTTGGTTGTGTTAGTCTATCGAAATCCTATACTGACATTGCAGATAGGCTAACGCAACCAAAAATTGGCTGCTGCAGCCAATTAAAAATACTATGCCATATTTTACCATCTAATTTGCTGCAGCAGCCAATCTTTTTTTTTTCAGTGTATGTATATTTATAATAGAACTTTTGAACTCAGATGAAAGAATGTCTTCAGTTTCCTTGGCGAGATGTTTGTATTATCACGTGAATGAAAATTAAGTATGCCAGAATATAAATGAAATTTAGATAAAGAGTATCCTTTATCTAAATGCTATTGTCGTCTATTATCAATATTTATTCTTACTTGACAAAACATATACGTTAATACTTGTGATAGTATCCGCGAGAAATATCATGCTCTTGTTATGATTTGTATTTTGTCTAACTCACCTTGTGATAATTCTGACGGATAAGATTAAGAATATATCGCGGAGAGAAAAGTCCCTTTTATACCTACAATGCCGACTAAAATGTGATGACAATTTCGATAAGGATAATCTCATAAGATAAAATCGTTTCAAAAAATATGTAAGTTTTGAGTAATTTTTCCGAGTTATCAATGCCTGATAAAAAAAATATCACCCTGATTAAAAAGATTCGTCTCTTTCTTAAACAGTTCTTATATTAAGAAATAAGAAAATAAATAAAGTTCTTTTAATAAGTCCGATAATTTAGTGTCATGTCATTCATTCATTGATATAGCTATCGATAATCTTTGACATTTTCACCAGAGATTCAAATTATTAATATCGTTTCACTGATGATAGACAAATATTTGTATGCGCTTAACTTTAAGCACACATAGGCCCGTTTTCACAATATATGGTTACCTAAAGATTAAAGGTTATCATCAGATTCATCAATGAAATTCATTCATGAATTTCTTGGTTACCTTTAACCTTTAGGTAACCATATATTGTGAAATCGGGCCATAAAGTAGATACCAATTATTATATCAAATATCAAATGCCGACATGTCTCAAAAAAAGTATCTCATTTAACACTTCTATACATTCAATAAATATATCTTACAATATACACTCAGAGAAAAACATAGTAGCAGCTATAAAATAATAACAACAGTTTAACATCTAAAATTAATATACATAATTAAATAAACTAATGTACATATAAAACTTATAGGTGTGACCCTTGTAGTTGCTTTTTCTCTGAGTGTAGGATAGAATACTTATTAAATTTTTGGATGTATAAAACCTGTTATGATGAAAGCACATTAATTCCTCCATGATAAATCTGATGAAGAAGAAACAAAATGACAAGAAAAAGCGTGTATCTTACAGACAGAAAGGACAAAATAATATAACAGAATATTACACAACATTCTGAATTTTTTTGAAGATTAAGACATTCAATAATTCAGAATGCATCATCGAAAGTGAAAACGGAGCGCACAAAGGCGAGTGTGAGTGCAGCGCTGACGCGCGCCGTTGTGTCTTTGGAGCAGCTGGAATGAAGGTAAACTCGCTTGTGGCCGTCGAGGGACGCAGAGGGGCCAGGGAGGTACGATGCAGCGAAGAACGGGAATGTCATGGCGGCGGACGCTGGCAGGGGTAGCTAGGTAAGTAACCAACCGTGGGACGAGAGGCACTGGCGGTAAGGCCAGGTATGGCGAAGCAAGCACGATACGCGTCACGATGAGCTGAGTGAATCACGGATGAACGCTTCATGAAACGATCGATCGGCTACACGGACGCGACAGCAACTCTACTTTTCTTTTGACGGCGAAAAAGTAAAAGAACGTGTGTACCCGCGAATGCAAACTTAAGGAGAGGATCCGCGTTTCGGCGTCATGTATCCAAGGATCGTGTTGCTACTCATCGTTGCTTGGGAGACGAGGAACGTGCTCGCCGACGCCGAGACGCGATCCGCCAGCGCCGACACGACAGTGAGAATCGGCAAATGTTGCGAGCTCGAGGAGTTGCTGATGGACGACCGGTGTACACCATTGTCGGAGACCAACGAGACCAAATGGATACCGGAGTTCGTGAAGGAACAAGATGCAGCGGCGAGAACGGGATACGTTCCTCCTGGACTCAGGTACGAGTTGAAGATCGGACGACCTAGATGCGACTCCGACGAGCATCAGTGGCACGTGTACTACTATCCATCCGGGCCAGATCGGTTGTTGATCCTGCCGACCGGTGTGTTGCGCCACTATATCGTTGATCTGGCAAAAAGCATGGATGAGAATCGCGGCGTCTACGGTGTCGCGATGTTGAATGTCGATGACGACTATGATGACGATAAGGAACACACAACCATACACTATGACTACCCGTTCGGGCATTATTGTGCCGACAAAGTCGTGCTCAGCGGAGATCGAATGGTGGCGACGTACGCTATGCTTTGCGTGCCGGATGTTGCTGTACGCTGGACCGATACCAACTACCTGATGAAGCATGCGATCAATCCTGCCTTCCACGCCGTGTCAATGGCTTGCTATCTGGTCGTCGCGGTGGTCTACTTCGTGCTGCCACAGCTGCGCGACCTCGTCGGCAACATCATCACCAGTATGGCTGTCTGTCTCATGGTCAATCAGTGCGCCTCCACCGTCAGGATATTCACAGAGTTCGGCAATCACGTCAGCTTCTTGGTCGCCGGTACGTGAATCGCAAATGATTGTTTTCGCTTAACGAAGTTTCGATAACAACAAATCATTTTCTTCGTGTGGTTGAGTCACACGCAACTGCGATTACGCGCGACTTCTCGAGAGATCCTTTTGGAGCGGGGAGATGCAAATGGTTCTCGGTAATGTTTTCCTGTGACGAAACTGATGTGTCGATGTCTAATCTCTGACGTATTTAACGACACTTAATTAAATTCTCTGACGAAATTGCGTTCTGTGTCCGTAGACAGAAAAATCTAGATAATTCAAATTTATCACAAAAAATAGTTCTTGCGTTTCAGAATGCAGCAATGCAGTAATTGACGCACTGCTGCTGCATCGTACACTCAGCAAAGTTGAAACACTTGATATAAATCATTTTATAGAATTACCGTGGATTATCTTCTCTTGCATGCCGAGGCAATGAAATTTGCGGTCATATCCTTCTCATCTCAAGTGCATTAGCTCCATCTGCGAGACACGCGAAACCGAGCGACTAAAGAGACTCGAATGAATCATATTTTAGCACGTGACGGAAGGACCAATTAATAAGTGCGACCGCTCGAACGGCCTTCTGCTGCGAAAGCAAATTACAGAACAAATTTCCAGGCCGGATGTGTTCCAGAAAATACAATATTGAAATAATTTCCGTCCTTTTTTTCAGACACGATCATGTACGTTTTCCTGATGGCCGCTTTCTTCTGGCTCGGCGCCTTGGGCTACTACGTGTGGAGCACATTCAGGTCGCGCAACGTTTTTCTGCGGGTAACCGACGGCAGGAAGTACTGCTACTACTCGTCCTGGGTCTGGGGTTTGACGGCCTGCTTAGCTGCTACGGCGATCTTCGCGCACTTCGCCCTCGAGACGAACAAGCCCACTGTAGGCGGCATGACTTATCCCGCTCAGGAGACTGTAGGCTGGCTCGGGCTCTCCGTGATATTCATGTGCGTCGCATTCACCATCGTGATCGACCTATGCCTGATACTGACGACCGCAAACAGGATCAAGCGAATGAGCACGTACGGCCGAATTCATCACAAAATGAAGTACAGTTTCCGGATGTTTGTTTTTCTCTACGCAATCATGAGCGCTGGCTGGTTCTCGCTTTTTTTACTGCCATATCGTCATGAATCTGCTGCAGGCACTGCTCATTCTTTACGTGTGCGTGTTCGGCCAGCGAAGAGTCACTTTCCTACTCGGGAAAACGTGCAACTGCTGCGACTCCGGTGACAACACCGAAGGCTTCGACTGGGGCGAGGAGATGACAGCTATCAATGCGGGTTATTAAAGCGCTTTACGAACAATTACTCGTGTTACGAGCGTGATCTGTATTCGAGTCGTGATCGAGTGATGAGGATAGCGCGTAAATCACGATTAGTAAAACGCACATCGCTCGCAGAATGAAGAAGAATGCATATAACGTGTTTGAAGCGTGAGAAGCATTCTATACAGTCGTTAAAGTATAAGTATATTCGAAGATACTCTGAGAATATACTCTTTGTACTTTTTTTATATCGTACGATCGCAATCTCAGAGTCATAGCTCATAAATGTATATCTTTCACGCGCAAATTTTACCAGACATATATACCATAAATATATGCGCATATATATTGAAACCAAAAGATATTCTTTAGAAAGTGTGAAAAATGCGTGGATATATCTCTATTTCAGAAAGAAACAGTATTATGCACGTACCAGCGTTACTTTAGAGAAGTAAACATAAAACGTGCAAGAAAAGAATATATTAAGATACATATACGTCGGAGACAATATCGGACAATGCGGCAATATATTGTAAATAATGATGCAATAATCAAGTTAATGTGCAAGTTGAATATGAGAAAAGTCAGGAAAGTCAGGAAAGTCGACGAGGCATTGAAAAATTTTATAAAATTATAAAAATTATAAAATATCATCATATAAAAAACATATAATGTGTTTTGATTGTTGAACTCGAGCCGACAAACGATGGCACTGATAAAATTGCATACATCTTTCGTATTCCATGTTTGGTGATTATGCGTGCCTTAAAACAAAATCAATCTCTTGCCTTATAAAAATATACGCTTATCGAAACCTTTTTATCACTTCACAATTTTAACATGTCTAGTATCTTGCATTTATCCATGTTCATAGCATATCATGTTGCCACAAGTGTACTGATTTAGATTTTAATCTAATTTTAAGTATAAAATCGATTATATTATGCAATATCGCTAATTTACGAACAAGTTTGCCAGCGTGTTGCACAGTATAATTAAAATATGTGTCACCGAGTCTCAAATGATCTTATACTTTTAATGGTATTTGTGTTTAATATTTATATCTATATAGTAAATCCATTTTTTGTACGAGATATTAAAATTCACTAAATGAATATTCGAATCAATATCGTAAATTAAATTACTTAACCTGTCCTATTTCAGGGTTGGAAAAATCCGGGCTTTTTTTAAAAAAAAACTTAACCCACTGGATTTTATGGAGGTTTTATTGGGTTTTATTGGGGTTTTTTGAGTTTTTTTGGTAAAATTGATTATTTGATATTTTTTTTCACGTAATATTTAGTTTACTTTGTATTTACTATTATTCACTACCTTATTATCACAACCTTAATACTTTTATATGCAGAATGATTAGTGGGATCATATTGTATAAAAAAAATTATACAATTTCGTTTAAAAAAAATGGAGATGACCTTTTTAGTGCCTCCACCTAGAAGAAAGACAACATGACCAAAATACGTCCCCCTTGAAACCATTCCACTTTCATCTGAAACATTTTTTCCTATCTCCAAAACTGTGAGTGTTACTCGGGTGGCCGGTCTTAACCACTGACAAGATAGCAGACAAATTGAATATTTCTGATTTATTTATGTCTATATAATTTGGGAATCGTTTGAGGAAATTTGGGAAAAGCATTTAAACATTTGGGAAATAGTATTTTTCTTGTAATTAACAAATTTTATCATGCGTCAAGTTAGCAGACAGCGATTTTATTTAATGTGTTTTATGAATGGAATCGATTAGAAATTATTTGAGGAAGATGGCTTCATTATTATTTTCATTTGGGAAAAGTCGCTATTTGGTAATTCAATAGATTTATACATTACGAAAACGAACAAAGCCCGGGTGTAGTAGGTGTAGTACAATGAATATAGTAAACCTAAAATCGTCAAAAATTAATCAATTAAGCCCGGACCTAATTATGCGTAGTAAGAAATTATGTGTAGTAAGAAATCAACTTAATCATAAACTTAATTATATTCTACTAATTTATATTATACTAATTTAAATTATACTAATTTTCTTCACTTTCAACTGTGATTGGTCAATTCCTTATGGCTTAAGGCTTTCTACATTTATTGTACCGTCCGAGTGAAGTTTGAGAACGCAGTCTAACATTGGAATATTTGGATTTCGGAGTAATAAATTTTGAACATAAAAATATACAATGAAGAAGAAAATTTGTCTAAAAACAAACTCAATTATTTATCACATATTATATGATCTTAGAAATTACAGAAACATATATGTAGATGCATGTGTGTATAATAATCATTATATGAATAAACGTACATATTTTATAAATTAACGCAATGTCTAGAAGAAATACTTAAATATTTGTTAGATGTATGTATGTACATAATATCTCTTGACATACATGTACATATGTACATAAAACCGTCTGTCCGTTTTTACTGAAAAATAACAAAAATAAAAAATAAATATTAAAATTTTTCTTCTTGAAGTGTATTTAACCATAAGGAATTGACCAATCACAGTTGAAAGTGAAGAAAATTAGTCGAATATAACTAAGTTTATGATCAAGTTGATTTCTTACTACACATAATTTCTTACTACGCATAAGTCCGGATCTACAATAGATGTTTTAAGATTTAAGCCGTAAGAAATTGATCAATTACAGTCGAATCCAAGGGGAATAATCGACTGTGATTCGCCCATTTCTTATGGCTTAAGGCTTAAAACTCTATTGTAGATCCCCCGCTTAATTAGATCCGGGTTTAATTGATTAATTTTCGAAGATTTTAGGTTTACTATATTCATTGTACTACACTTACTACACCCGGGCTTTATTCGTTTTCGTAATGTATAAATCTATTGAATTACCAAATAGTGACTTTTCCTAAATGAAAATAATAATGAAGCCGTCTTCCCCAAATAATTTCTAATCATTCCATTCATAAAACACATTAAATAAAATCGTTGTCTGTTAACTTGACGATAAAATTTGTTAATTATAAGAAAAATACTATTTCCCAAATGTTTAAATGCTTTTCCCAAATTTCCCCAAACGATTCTCAAATTATATAGACATAAATAAATCAGAAATATTCTATTTGTCTGCTATCTTGTCAGTGGTCCGGTCTTAAGTGACTCACCCTGTATATATCTTAAAATTGGTATATGTTAAAATTATATCACTTCAGTTATAGTTTAGTATACATATATTCATTAAATATTTATAAATACGTCCCTTTTATGTGTTTAAAAAATTTATTTTTCTACAATTCCAATAAAACCCAAAAAAAACCCAAATTGCGATTTTTTTTTAAGGGTAAAACTCAAAAAAACCCCCTGAGTTTTTTTGGGATGGGTAAAATAATGCCAACCCTGCCCTATTTACATTTTGCGATAATAAACATTTTACAATGACTTACCTGTCCGAACAAACTTCCCTCTGGACGATGCAGCAAATTAGATAACTGGCAACGCACCACCAGATGATTGTCATCCATGACAGTATTGAAGAAACGTCTGGTAGGAAGTAAAGCCTCAAGGTCGATGACCAGCTCCAAAAATCTCTCGCAGTAACGCACTTTGTCCGGAAGTACAGGTCCTATTAAAACCATAATTAAAGTAATTAATTAAAAATAAGTTTCAAATGTTTAATTTTATTGCTAACAAAATTTAGTAAACAGACTCCGCATTAACATACGAAAAAAGTAATTTCAGTCAAATTAGCTGAAACTATGATGTGTTTTGTAACTTATGAGATTGCTTCTACAGATATTTGCTATAACATCATTGAAAGTTAAAATTTTGGGTCTAATTATACTGAAAAGCAGCTTATTCATATTACAATTTGTTTTGTCATTATGTAAGCATTTATGCAGTTAAATACGTATTTAATTATGTTAGTTTCCATTACTAATTGTAAGTAGGTTTTTCTCAATGTGTATAAGAAAGAAGGATAGAATGGATGCAATGTATATATGTATCGGTATGTGAATATCCGTGTCGATGGCTATTGAATAGTCTGACATTACTATGTTTAGATATACATAAGTGTATGCCTATACACAAGTACCTATACAATTAAAAAAACAAATTATACCGTAGATAAAAAATGGTTATACACAAGTGCTTATGCAATTAAAAAAACAAACTGTAGATAAAGAAAGATTTTTCAGTCTAATTAAACTCAAAATGGCAACTTTCAAATGGTACTACAGAAAAATTTATTTTTACGATTTTGCTTATAGACTTTTGATCAGGATCTCATAAGCTACAAAATATCACGATTTCAGCCAGTTTGACTGAAATGATTTTGTCCATTCTGGTACTTTTTATTTTAAAAAATCGAGAAATATATTTTTTTTTCTAAAAAATAAATGTAACATTTAATTGGATAATATGTATAAAAATACTCATAAATACCTTTTGCAGGAATTGTTTCCAATATCGTCATAAATTTTATCATAAGTTTGTGCAAGAATTTGCGTTCCCATTCGAGTTTTTCTTTATGCTCGGGATTATCTTTTTTCCTTATAATTTTCCAATACTTTCTCCATTTCGGATATTTTCTAAATTCGAGTTCTCGTCTGCCTTGCTGCAAGGAGATCCACATGGATAGTGACACCAGCCTTTTGGCTTCTTCTCGAACCAAGGATACTTCCATGGAGTTGAAGCAATGATTCAAGAACACTATCAACGCCGTCTGTTCCTTCAGATTAAAGTCCATTATACTTTCTTCCAAACACGCCTCGAGAACATTTTGAAAAAATCCGGCGAATTCTACTGGATTCTTCTCGAACGCCTCCCATACTTGCACCCGCTCCCTAAACTTTTCATTCACCATGACGACGATTGACATGGTGTGTTCCCGCGTGGCACTCTCCGCCTTGTAACTTGACCAGAGAAAATTCTCCAGATACTGGCTGAACTCTAGCATCATGATCCTCCGGACAGAGAACTTGGACGCACATATTTCCTGTACGTAAATGTCATCTACTACTTGCGAGTTGAACGCCAGATGCGTATTTGTGGTGTGTGGTGCCCAGTATTTATTCGCAAGCTACAAAACAACAGAAATGAACAACAGAAAAACAAATGAACAGAATCACATAAGTTTCCATTTTAGTAACAAAAATTAACATAACGATAATTCTATTTTTGGATACTCTCCATTTAGTGATACAAGTTAATACAAATGTCATGATATCTTTGTTTTTTATTGAATATCAAAGTTAAAATGATGTTTGTAACGATTTGAGCCATTAAATGGAAAGCATCCTCTTTTATTTTGGCAACCAGTGAGTAACAGAGTGTTTTCCAATATATGAATGATCAAACAGAAAGCATCCAATGTAATCACACAAAGCGATTCCAAATCTACAAAACAATAGCAAGAATTGCTAGAAAATTTGCCTGACCACAAAATTTGGAGTATAACATCTTAAAACATAAAAATAACAGTAATAATTAATAGAAAATTTGCCTGATCACAAAATTGGGGAATCACATCTTCAATAATTTGCAGTAAACGTCAACGAGACGATCATCGAGAATAGATACCTGGGTGATCCTGTCCGCGTTGATCTGCTCTACTGTAGGAGCAGGATTGTTGCTTTTGATAGACGGTGCGTTCTCCATTGTATCTGTCAGCTGCAAACTGAACGCCACGAGTTAAACTAACCTAACTTTCTCCATTCGCCGGTGCCTGCGACGAGCTCGCAGTCGCACTTGCAGTGAATAAACGTCGCACGACGTCACAAGCGTATTTCGTGGAATACGCAGAACAATTCTCGTCGAATTCTTCCGGTGAATGCGAGTTAACGTCGTTTCGAGCGAGCCGTGTCCGAACTCGCAGTTCTTCTTCTTCTTCTTCTTCTACAGTTATTCGGGAGTTTCGGCGCAATGTGACAACTTCACGTTGCCGAACTCGCAGTTCAAAGATACACGCCGAAAACTCACGTACAGTTCCACCACTTCCACCATGCAGTTGCGTACAGTTCACAAATCACAACGTCACATTACTTCACGCTCGTGACTTCCTGCACGAGAAATGATAAAAAATTCATGGAAAAACTACAAAAAAACGGAAGGAACA